TTGTACTTGTGGCTTTATTCATGCCCCAAATCTGTTTATCTTGAATACTCTCATTCTGGTGTTACTGAATAGCAATGTTGTCAAGTAACTGGAGAAATTCTCTTTATGTTGTCATAAACTTAAGAAGTACTCAATCATTCTAACAGAAACGTCTGAGATATGTGTCTTCTGAATGAGGTGACCATTTTTTGTATCTGGAGGGATTTAGTCGGACAGAGCAGTAAAAATAGCTTGGTAATCCGTTCCAAGCTGACACAGTGGCTTATCATCTTTCAGTGAAAGTCATATATGAAATATACTTTTATGTAGGAGAGAAACCAATTTATGCAAACAGTAATCTGATGCAATGACAAGACTACATATACAATGGTACAAGCTCATCAAAAAATCCGCACCCATGCAACATGTTGATTCTGATAACAACTCGTCTGCTTATGAAGCAATCTTTCAGGATGATTTCACAGATATTGATAGTTCTTCTGATATCGAGGAAATCATGAATTCTGATTCTGATGAGGAGAGTAAACTATTATACTTGACAAAAATGGGATTCTCAGAGGCTGAGGCTTCAATAACCATGGAGAGACGTGGTTCAGATTCATCAATTGCAGAATTGACAGATTTTATATGTGCTGATCAAATGGCTAAGGTTACTGATGCACTTCTTATGGTAGAAGATAGGAAACCATTATGCAATGATCCCAATTACAAGCAAAGGCGAAACTTGGGCTATGATTTTTGAAAAGGGAGAAGCAGAGGAAGCTTCTTAATGAAGACGATCATATAGTTCATTTTTCAATTCCAATGATTGGTTCTGGGGTTCCTACCAAACCAGATCAGATAACTCAAAGAACACTTCCAGAAGATGCTATTGGGTCTCCTTATTTCTACCATGAGCAAATTCATCTTTTAAATCCAATGATTGATTTTGGAGTTCATACCAAATCAGATCAGATAACTCAAAGAACACTTCCAGAAGATGCTATGAGCACATAGCACTTGCTCCAGTTAATGTTTGGACTAGAATATCATAGTACTTATTCGATGTAGAGCCAGAATTTGTAGATTCGAAGCATTTTCATGCTACTACACTGAAAAGGGCTATATTCATAATTCTGCTAATTGAGAACAGATTTTCTTTTATTATGCTTCCTCCATATGCTGATGCTTTTCCATTGACAAAGAAATGATGGCTTTCCTGGGATCCAAGAACAAAGTTGAACTGTTTATAAACATGTACAGGAAGTGCCAAATTGACAGAAAGGATCTGTAAGGCTCTTAAAGCTTATGACAATGACTTTCGAGTGTCCAGAAGTATGTTCTTGATGAGTGCTAAAACTGGAATCTGGTATGGGTTGGAAGGAATAAAATTGTTCCACTTGAACCTGATGAGGTGGAAATGCTTCTAGGTTTCCCTAAAAACCATACACAAGGAGAAAAATCTGCTAGAGACATGTTTCCCGGTGGTATCAATGTCCTGTCTCTTTTCTCTGGAATCAGTGATGCAGAGTCCGTCTTTTACTATCTTGGCATATCTTTGAAAATAGATGTGCAAGAACTGAATCATGATTGATTGGAGCAATTGATGAGTAGATTTGGTGGATTCAACCTTGTTGTCGATGGCATCCCATGTAACAACATTACTGAAAGAAATAAACATCATCAGGATGAACTAGAAGATTTTTGTTGGTGCATTTCCTTGCAATGACTGCCACATTGACTGTCTCTTCTGCTGCTCCAAAATACACACTGTCATATCCCACTCTTCCCTAACCATGGAAAGATTTAATTGATGGTAAAACTGGTTATCTAAACTTTTGGAATCCTGTACGGCATACAAATGTAGAATTTGTTCCAACGTCTTATTCTGTGCCATAAGTCCTTAAATTCAAATTCAGCAATCTTCTGAAGAACAATGAATATCATCTTGACAAGAAAGTGATCGGCATAGAAGAAGCAATAATGATGTATCAAGACTTGAGCCAACATCACGGTATAACCAGAGTACAGGTAGTGACTTGTTCATGGTTCTATGATGTAATTTTCTAGAGAACATGAATTGATGGTTGGGGAAAATAATCTTTTTGGTGATTCTTATCGCCCTCAGCATGAGATAAACGATAATGTTTTTTTGATGAACTACTAATAATGTCTTAGGAGAGTATCACAAGTTCAATTCTCCAGACTTTCTGGCTTCTTGGACCACTTGCCTTCAAAAAATGTGAAGTGCTTCATTATTCTGGCCTCGTTCATTCTTTTTCTACAACAGAGGTAGAATAAGCAACAGTTGCTTCAAGGATCTTCCTCATTTGAGGCTGTCTTGTTTGAAAATGTTTTTTTTCATTTCTTTATTGAAGAATGAAAGACTTTTACAAAGTATTGCCCTTCTTAGGTTCACAATAGAATCAGATCATAAACAATGAGTTTAATAAATATCAAATAAATCAACTACATTTTTAAATCATTCAAAAATCATAGTCCTATGGCAAGTGTCAAAATTATTAACTGATTTGAGGTGTGGGTGGATTTTGGTAAAGTAGGTTCTTTCAAGTTGGTTCAGTATGTCGTTTTGGCTTACACTAACTTGAAGAAATGGTTGTTATGCTCATCTTGTAGAGATGCTTCTTGTTTCCCTACTCTCAGGAACGTCTTTGGGATGTGCGGTGCTTTATTAAGAGCTTAAGATTGTCTCTTATGTCGTTGTTGCACCATTCAATATTCGAGCCGCCTTTTCAGGTTTTCAACTCGAATCCTCCTTTGGTTCTAAGATGTTATTTAAAAATTTACATCTTGAACCCCCCTTTTTATCATTTTTCATATCATGCATTAAAGATTTTAAAAACCAATTTTTGCAAATAAAAATCAATCTTGAGAGGCGGAATGAATTCTGAAGATATTCTCTTTTACTTAGAAATCCATGTATGATTAAAATGGACTTTTCAGGTACGTAACGTAGGCCATGGCTTATGGTTACGAAAGAAAGGGACAAAAAGGCCCAAATAAGTGTTTAAGGGTAATCAAACCAAGGATCAATTCATTCTGATGCCATCAATCTTGCCTTGCTTAACTTGGATCTACTTTGTTGGAGATTTTTCAATCATCTGGATCCCTCTAGACTGCCAAATTTTGGATTCATTTCCATTTTCTCATATCTTCAGCATTTCTTGCTCTTCTTGTTTGTACTTGATCAACCTTGTAACTTGAGGCTCAATAATTCACCCATCTTGATTCAATTTTTTGTTTTTTGTTTTTTTTTATTTATTTCCCTTTTTTTTCTTTTTCCCTTTTTTTTCTTTTTTCCTTTCTTTGCTGGATTTTTCTTTTTTCTTTCTTTGCTGGATGAGTATAATACTTCAATTGTTTTGAGCACCTCCTTTTCCTTTTACATTTTGGAGGTTTTCCATTATTCTTGATTGGATTGATCTTCAAGCACTCTGTATTTGACATACTTTGTAGTTCAAAACTTTCATGACTTCATGGAAACTTGTCTTTGTAATAAAAATGTATTGACAATCTTTATTCTTGTGAGCAAATATCCTTCTCCTTGCCCCCTAAACTTGTTTGTACTCTGGAACTGAAGCGTCGGCAAGGTGGCTGGAGGCAGTGGTGGCGCCGCGTGGATGTTCTTGAAGCTTGGAGGTGGCGGCCGGGATATAAACCTAGGGTTGTGAAACCCTAGGACTTCTGGGATCTGGGCCACCGGGTTTGGTTACTGTTGGGCCAGAGTTGTAATCAGGCCCCGATCTTGGGCCTTTGTATATATATATATATATATATTTATTTATTTAATAATAATAATATATAATAATAATAATATATAATAATAATAATAATAATAATAATAAAAATAGTATGAAAAAAAATTAGTGTTTACACGTACTTTTATCCTTTGAAGTCTTGGATATAGAACGCACACCTAAAAAAGATTCGCATCGCATGTTGTTAATTTACACGCATGTTTTGAAGTATCTTCCCACATCATTCATGCACCTGCTATACTAATTTTTTATCTAATCCATCTGCTTTTTGAAAAATAATAAATTGGTCCATTTAATCCCATATTTTATGAAGATTTAGATGTTGGTGGTAGGGGTGTTTAAATTAAACTGTAACCGTTAATCAGTATAATCATTACATTTTACAAGTTAATTAATTGAACCGTTAAAATTAAACGGTTTCAATTAATCGAATCACTTAAAGTATCAATTAACGATTACAATTATGATTACGGATTTTAATAAATTATTGACTATTAGTTAACCGTTAATAAATTATAATAAATTATATTTTTAGAGAATATAATTATAAATAAAATCATAACAATTCCTATTTTTTAGTTATCATGTCTATATTATATTGGAACACATTAAATCAAACATAAATAAATTAAATACATGACTTTAAATTGCAAAATATAAATATGTACATAAGTTTTTAAACTATAAAAAATGAATATACCTCCTAATATATATATTTCTATAAAAATAAAATGCACCTACAAATAAATAAGATTTCTTCATATATATATCATAGTAAATTTTATTAAACTTTGAAATTTTCATGTTGTGTTTGAAAGGTGGTTAACCTACAACCAAACCGTTAATAACGATTAATCGTTAGGGGTTTACCATTTCTTAATAATTAGGTTATAGTTAACAAAATTTAGTGACTGTTATAACAGTTAACAGACCGTTTAGACTAAACAGTACGGTTAACCGGTCATTAGCACTCCTAAGAAGAACAATTATTTGTGAACAATAAGTTTTTCTGTCTCATTCTACCCAACCTCTGCAACTGCTTTGTTTAAGAAAAACAACAGAAATAACAGAAACTCAAGTGAAGAATCTCACTCGGACTTTAAACCTTTCCCTTCATTCTTTTATACCATTATTACTAATGTAAGCCACCCTTTAGCATAATTTAGTTTTCATTTTTAATATGGATTATGGAATCAAAGTATTTAAAGCATTGACAACTTACAATTAAATCCATAAAAAAAGACAATAATTAAAACTATTTTTCAAGCAGTGCCAATAACATAATACTTACAAAAATTACTGGGATCTCATGATAGATCTGTGTCTAATACCAATTGGTTATCATGGATACCATAGCCGAGTTTACTTCATCCCTGAAAATACAAAAGAGGAGAGAATTTGTTACAAATAAACTACACCATCAGTCATCAATCTATTCTCTTTCCTATTTTAGTAATCGAACTATTTTTTTTATAAAAATATCACTAACGTTATCATTTTATTTTGACCACCTACCATTAAAATATTTATTTAACGGCGATGCTAACACACTTTTATTTTAAATAATGGATGAAATGTGAAATTAGAGCTTAGTCGCAGTCAACAAACCTGCTGCTTTCTCTTTTTTGGTCTCCTCTTTCTTCGTGGTTTACGAGCATCAGAATTGGAACTTAAATTACTATTGTTTCCTGTCTTTGAATTTGAGGATTCCCCAGCCTTAAAGGAAGAACCACTTCGGCTATTTGATGTGTTGCTAGATGCGGACATTTCAGCTCTTTGCATGGGTGAAAATCCAAACCTTGATTTTGCAGCTACTGAATTTGAAAAAGAATTCGATGATGGCCTTGGAGGTGGCATTAAAGCTCTGGCAGAAACCTGTCTCTGTTACAAGTTGAAGCAACAACAGAATGGTGGAAATGTCAAAACAGTTAAAATTAACTATATTCTAAAAAGGGAACTGTATAATTCTATACTGAACCTGGTTCCTTTCATCGCTAGACATGCCAGATGCTGCTTTTCCGGAAGCACTAGAAGCCTGTTCCCTGCATATAAAATGCCTAGATGTATGACTGCACTTTCATCATAGCTGAAGGAGTGTGATAAAGATTTGTGGCCATAAAAGGAAAAAGTTAAATACAAATAGTGCATCTGCTAACAAAAGAATCAATAGAGATAATGACTCCTTATTCGTGTGAAAAGTTCTTAATGGCAGCTTCAGTCCATTTGCATCTCTAACTCGTCCTGGTTCTAAATGTCGACTGCCGAAATCAAAGATGGGGAAGAACATGCCATCAACTATATATAGATAACAATTCCAATCAATACAAGATCAATTGAGCAGTTTAACTCGGATATAATTTGCACCTGGTACTTTTATCCGTCCACTCATCATCTGCGTCAACTTCATCACTTGAAGATCCATTTAAGAAGAAATCATCATCACTCAAATCCATCAGCCCATCATCCTCACTCCCTGTCTCTGTTAATCAAAGTCCAACCAGAAGATATCATTGTTTTGAACATAAAAATATATTGTTAATAAGAATTAGCAGGTAAAGTAACAAGTAGTAAGAAAACATGTTACATCAATAACATGCAAGTTCCAGTGAAATTCACAATGAAATCAAGCTATATAAGTTGCTTCATATAGATTATATTGCTAGATTCAGTGAATAAAAAATGCACCTTCCATATCTTTCCCACTGGCAGCAGCAGCAATTGAGTTGGCTTTTATCTGCGTTCGCAATCTATTTCTCCTTTCAACTATGTCAGAATCATCGCATCCCATAAATAAAGATATGTATTTCTCGGTCTTGGGGAAAAACTGGATTTGCAAATAAAAAAAATAGAACTTCAGATTTGCACAGTTTAGGAAAAACATGCTGAATTCAAGTCCAAATAGTCAGTTAAATAGCATTGCCAAATCATAATCACGAACAAAACATCAAATTTTCATTCAAAAAACTGCAAACTTACAAAGAACCAAAGCTGTTACGAAGCTTACCCTAACATATTCAAGATCCTCTTTCAGTTTAGATAGCAGGTCAGCAATCACCGTGTCTTGTGCCTGACCGGAAGAAGATCGTTGCAGCTTCTCCAATCGTCGAATCCTCCTTTCTATCTTTCTTCTCTCTTCAATGGCAATTAAGATGTTTTCATATAAAAGATTCATTCCCTAAAAGTACTAATTACTATAATAATGTAAGAAAAAATAATAGTAATTCTTTTGTTTTTACCAAAAAACTTAATCTTTCTGTCCCTCAAGAATATATTCCGTTCCACAGCGAGTCGGGTATGGATTTCTTGTTGTTTCTTAAACCCTTCTAACTTATTTTCTTGAGCTTCTCTAACCTCAGGAGGAAGATCCTTAAATTACATATAGAAAAAGAAGGAACAAAATGGCGATTCAGAGAATTTATAACACAAATTAAAACCGTAAAATGATTTTTTTAATTAAAAGGCGAGAATGAAGCAATACCTTTCGCAGCATACGTTCAATGGAGCGTATCTGGTTCTTGAGAGAAACGGCTTTTGGCTTCGGTTTCTTGTCTACGCTAGGTCCCTTTGATCGCCGACCGACGCGATTCCCTTCCGCCACGCGCCGTTTACCATAGCCACCGTGGGCCATGTCGTTTCTATCTTTTTTGGCGCTGCTCTTGCTCCTTCAGAGATATTCTTTAGCCTTTGTTGTGGAGGTTTATCAGTAAAAAAAATTGAAGGGTTTTCTTAGGTTTCTGAATGCCTCATGGATCAAATTGACTCAACCTTTCTTTTTAGGCTTAATATTAAAAAAAAAACTCCAAATTATACATATTTTATTATTTAGGGTAAACTATGCCAATGGTCATTGATGTTTGGATACATTTTTGTTTTCACCACTCATGTTTTAAAAGTTATAAATAGGTCACTAATGTTATCGTTTGTGACAAAATGGTCACTGGCCGTTAACAGTCGTTAAGAGGCGTGACGAAAAATACAACTGGACCGTTATCTGCTGAGTTGGATCATTGACTGCCATTTTGACTAGCTCTTCTTCTTCTTCAACCCATTCCCCATCTTCTTTTACTTCACTTTTCTTCTTCTTTCTTGCTTCATTATCATCATCACCATTTCTCTACTTATTGGAGCTCTTTTCATCTCTTTAATCAAGTACAAAGAAGTACCAAATTATAAGGCCAGTCTTTTCCCAGATGTATTACTATAGACCTAAAATTTTTACATAATTTTCCATCTTGTCTTCTTCCCTGTAAATAAGCTTAAAACCCAAGACTTTTTTAAATATTATATTGGGAGTTAATTTTTTTCCCTTTTTTAAAACTATATTTCTTCTCCATTTTTCTATCTCCATTTCCCCTACAACTAGTTTCTTTTATATTCCCGTTGAATTTGTTCATTTAGTTAAACCTCTAAACCATCAAGTTTTCCCTCAAAATATTCATAACTTAATCTTCCAAATCTTTTTCTTTTTAACTGTCAATGATACTCTCCTCAACGATTACAAGTCTAAAAATGGAGAAGCGATTACAAGTATAAAAATGTGAATGAATGCAGAAGCCAGACAAGAGCCAAACGTGATGGAAAACCAGTGCTCCTGTTTTCCGATCTAGTGGTCCCTTTCACTCTCCGCAAACAACCGTTGATTCTGGACATGCACAGGTCCTAAAGTATTCCCACTCAAAATACTAAAATAATCAATATCGCTCTTCTAAACCGACAACTATACCGCAAATTATTATGCACCAGAAAAACCTAAACTTGGTTTTCACTTTATCTTGCTTTGCAACCCCACCAATGATCATGACTTTTCCAATAATAGTTGCCACTCGAAAACCAGACCATTGTTAATCAAAACCCACTTTCTATTTACAAAGCCTTTATTAAGACCTCCAAAACCTTAAAACCCACCAATTAATTCATTTTCAATAGTTTCTGATCATCTATCTCATTTTTGTATAGTTCCCAACTCTAAAATTTTACTGCATGGAATCCGATAATAAAATCGGTTCGACAGCTCATCCCGGTTCCTTACACCCCCTGTCAGCGGAGATGCCTCGAAACCCAAGGTGACAAAGAATTATGCTGCATGCTTGTCATGTTGTTAGGCTGCATTGTTGGCACAGACCTTGTAAATTTATCGACTGTAACTGAGGGTTCATTTGATTATCAAGAGACTGTGTCTGATTAATTTGTGTTTGTGCTTGTTACATGGAATGCATATGAGGTGGAGGAAACTGTCCTTGCAGTAGCATAGAGGCAGGCTTCCTTGGCCTATTGGAATTCACAAAATTTATTATCTGTTTCTCATATGAACTCAACTTCTCCTTGAAAGGGAGTGTTATATTCTCTTTGGGAATAAATAAGAAAGCTAAAATGCGCTCCAACATGGTCTTGAATAGTTTCAACTTGTCAAGCTGCTCAGACTTTGGCTGCTGTGGATTAGAATCATGTTGGAAAATAGAACACAGAATTGTCTTAAGCAACCCAAGTAAAATTGCAAACCACTATTCCACCAGATAAGCATAAGTGAGACCACTAAACACCGTCTAAAAGAATAGGATTCAAGAAGCAACACAAAAGTGGGGTGGGATCAAAAGCTTTAACATAAATTAGTGTCTTGCTCTCTAAATTTTGTTAATAAATACAACAGCAGAGTATGATACAGAAGGGTTTTGTAACACCCCCAACCCGTACCCGACCCGGATACGAGTCCGAGGTATCACATTGACTTTTCAAACTTTGACTCTTTACAAAATTCAAAGAAAATTTAAAACTTTAATTAAAGTAAAAGTAATTTATTTACATAACTTGATCACAATAACTAAAATTAATCAGAGCATATTAACTCAATCCTTTAGTACATGCCAATTATATTGAAAATAACCAAAATCATTTAAATCATCTATTTTCTGATCTGAAATTTGTAAGGGAGATGCTAACATGTCTTGATCTCTTAGCTTTTCTTCTAGCTTTCCGGAACCTACGTGTGAAACACTCACACGCTAAGTCGATGACTTAGTGAGGCAAATAAAACTTATAATGCACTTAATAACATTTAACAATGCATGCTTGTTTCATTCTATCATGCTATACTAAATCACCTTATTTCATCATAGCATACAAAATCATATCAGATTACTTAACAAAATATACCTACATACACATAAAGCATCATTAACAGTTTATCTTTTAATCACATACTTTTATACTTAAACCCCTTAATTAAACAATATACACACACACAACATCATATCATTTCTACAACATTTATCATATCACAAACATATATTTGTTATTATCTCATGATTAGCCCATGGACATATGTGAGAACTATAGAGGTTGTGCACTAATGCTGTCACCACAGCTCGTATAATTGCACCGAAGTGCCGCGTTGAATTTGCACCGTAGTGCCATATAAGATTGTCCATAAGGACCACATATAAATTCCTTAAGAACCATATACATATACCAAGGATCAAGTAAGTGTCTCAAAATACCTCATACATGCTCCAAAGAATACATATATGTCCCGAAAGACCACGTAGAAAATTCCTTAAGAATCATATACATATACTAAGGACCAAATACGTGTCTCAAAGACCTCATAGATGTTCATATGATACCTATATGTCCCGAAGGACTGCGTAGACCTTCGACTCTTGGCATGCCAACTATACCCCAAAGTTCTCAAGACACATAACATGGGCACTATCTTTTATATCCTTGCACATATTCATGTAAACATATCACATATTCATATAAGCTCGTAGCTTCATTCACACATACATGTAATCACGTAGTTCATGTCAATTCTCATATGATTTCATATTCATATACTCACGTAATTCACTTACACATAACACATTTTCATGTAATTCACAGATATCCCTCAGCTTATATCTCTTGATCATTTAATCACAAATTCTTATCACATATCTCATAGTCATGTTTTCATATATTCATTTCATCACACAGGCTCATAGTTTCTGGTCATATCATTCACATTCTCTGACTTATCTCTTATGATCTGATAATAACTACACTTATTTCATATAACTTATTACCGCATAATTCACATATAAACACCTAGATCACTTTCACATAGCTTATATAAGTTTTCTGAATCCTTTCATATTACCTGATAACATATATCATATATGTATATAATAACTTATCTCATTTCGTCTACTTTATGCTTTATTTCTTTGTATTCCCTTAGATTATATAACTTATATCGTATTTCTAAACATATATATTACACTTAATAGCATTTTATTTATATACTACTTTAATCCATTTAATTAATTCAATTTTATATATTCCTTATAACCTTTTCATATAACTCCATAGGTCTTTAGCATATAATTTATCCTATATATATACATATCATTTCTTTATATTCAAGTTCCCTAATTGATATATTATTCACATTCCATTTTATAGTTCAATCTTATTTAGTTTCCTCAATTCTCATTAAATCAAATAACTCTATTTTACTAATTCTCATAACCATGTATTTGCATAATCTTATATTTCATTATCATATCACTTATATTTATTCTCCTATGATTCTTCATAAACCTCTATTTCCATTTCCCTACATCTCTTGACTTATCTTTTATATTCATATAATTTCATAACTTATTTTATATTCTCTCATTAACACTTAATAGTGTTTGTACATAAACCACATTGCACATACAAAACATATCAATTCATATAATCAAGCATACATACACTCATATTCAACTCATGCCTTTAATCATGAATTCATATGTAACGCTTCAGGAAATAGACTCATCGCAAGTCTTCTTCCCATCACACATCATATACTATTGAATATGCACTCACCTGGCCTCACTAGTCAATTCCAATCTCTTATCTTTCCCTATGATCGATCTTACTTGACAATGATTCTGGAACTCTTTTAGGCTCTGAATCTACATAATTATACATTTTAAGGCAATTATTAGATACCTACACCTTGTAATTTGATACTAGAAACTTAACCGAACTCATTAAACCAATAATCACTTTTTCTTTTAAGGAGAATCGGTTCCCTACTGTGGGGGAATCGATTCCCCAAAGACATTCTAGAATTTCTGGTTCGGTTGAGGGGGTATCGATTCCTCTTTGAATGGTACCGATTCCCCCTTGAATGGGTACCGATTCCCCTAACCCAGAAATCATGTTTTGAGCTCGAAAATCACTTCATTTTCAGCTCCACACTTCCTATTTCACTTCCTTTAATATTCTTAACTCAAATGTACCTACTTAAACAAATTTATACCCATTAATTTCATCTTAAACCTCAAAATTCTATTCTCCATATAGAAATCAATAATCATACCAAATTTTCCATGTTACTCAAACTTAATTATAACACTTCTAGCTTCTTATTCTCATAGATGACAAGTCAAATTCATCCTCTAAATTCATATAAACCTTCTTATTCAAAATTTCACTTAAAAACTCCAATTCTTCAATCTCCTCTAACTCATTTATCTTTTGATTTTAAGATAACTTAAGCTTTCCTTAAGCTTAGTTATCATCTAATGATCAAAACTAACTCATAAAATCAACAATTAATTGATTAACCAGAGAACTCACCTTTGCCTTGGAGCCTTCACGGGAGGAGAGGAAGAAGAAGAAAGAAGAAAGAGTTCCCAGATAACTCTTTCCCCCACCCCCACGTGATTCATATTTATTAAGGGGAAAAATATTTTTCTTGTCAAATAACCATTTTGCCCTAAATTCCTTTAATAATTACTAACAACTTTAAGGAAATATCTACACATAAATCATTAAACTATTCAACTATCCTACTTTTATCCCCAAATTCTGAAATTTTACAATTTAATCACCAACCCGGTATTGAGGATGTTAGGTTTTATCACTCTTGAGATGTTAAAGAATGCAGAAGGGTTTTATCACTCTTGGTAGCAACGTGTGTGATAAGAGGAAAAGAAGAAAAGTGGAGAAAAAGAAGATGAGGAATGGGTTGAAGAAGAAGAAGAGTCGGCCAAAATGGCGGTCAACGATCCAACTTAGCAGATAACGGTCCAACTGTATTTTTCGTCACGCCTCTTAACGGTTGTTAACGGTTAGTGACCATTTTGTCACAAACGATAACGTTAGTGACCTATTTGTAACTTTTGAAAAATTAGTGGTGAAAACAAAAACTTACCCAAACATCAATGACCATTGGCGTAGTTTACCCTAATATTTAAGTGTCTAAAATTTTTCTTCACTCAATTTAAATGTCTAACATTATAAATATTACCATTTAAAGTGTCTTGATTGTAACGGGCATTAAAAATTTAATTAAGTGACATGTATCACATTCATATAATTTTAAGAATTTAATTTTAAAAAATAAAATTAATATTTTTATTAAAAAAATTCTTAAAAAATTTCAGGCTTAATAAACTTTTAAGTGCCTAAATTATAAATTATACCTCAAATTGACTTTTAGTGCCTAAAGAATTTGTTACTAAAAATAGGTGTATAACGTTTTCTCTGTTACACTTTTAAATGTCTATCATTATATTTTTATATTTTTAATTTTTAATAAAAGGAAAAAAATTAAAAATGGTGTCGACCTGGTAATTTTGGGGAAAAATAAAATCCCTAAAAATCCTAAATCACTAACCCTAACCTCCTTTACCGACCACGACCACCGTCGATGACGCCACGCTTGACATCTCCCTAGTCATAAGTCGCCTCCCTTGCTGTCGTGCGCGTTGTTGGATCACCTAGATGTCACGAATTTGGAGTGCGTGTCGTTGGATCGAGTATTTTTCTTTTCCTTCGTCGAACACACGACGTTTATGGTCAGGTTTGTCTTGTCGTTGAGTGTAGCTTCGACTTTCAATCGATTGGAGTGGTGGGATTTCGACCAACCGACGACAATAAGGTTTGATCGGTTGTTAGCATTAACGGTGGTCGATTCACGATGTTGGTGGTGGATGACAGGATTTAAAAAATAAAATCTTTAAAATTATCAAAATACGACACATGGATTTAACAAGTTTTTTTTAACGGTCGTTATGGTCATGTACTTAAAATGATATTGTTTGTAAAGTTATGCATCTAGATCGACCAAAAATAGTTTAGGCACCTCAATGAGAAACACAATATAGTTAACACTTATTTTGATATTAACTCCAAATATTTTATAAAATTATATGAAAAATTATAGATTAAACTACGTGAATAGTCACTTAAGTAAGAATAAATTTCTTTTTCTATTATTGAAGTTTTAAAGTAATGAAACAATTACTAATACTATCGACTTGTAGCAAATTAGTCATTCGATTGTAAATGACTCTTATTTCAATAGATAATGAAAGATTGATGTGATATATTAAAATTTTAAAGAATAAAATAATTTTTTATTATTAAAATCGTTTGATTTGTACTAATACAAGATTGTTTTTTTTTATAAAAGTTGGAGGTCTCATTAAAAACTCCCTTCGTATTCTTCCACATACTTAGAAGTATGTTGAAGAACATTGGAAGGAAGAAAAGAGTGCCTCGTAATTTATTAATTAGAACATCAAGTACATGTAAAAACATCGAATACCCTCATATGGGAATATACACCATTACAAAAAAACTATATCACCTAAAAATATCCGATCGTCAAGCAAAAAGCCCCAAAGATAATAACATGATTTCTAAAATACACCTCAAGTTGCAAAAGAACATAACAAAATAAAAACCAACACTTGCAACCAAAAAAACTAAAAGAAACGCCTCTGAATACAACTGTCGAACAGTTACGATCCAATTTAAGGAACAAGTTCTAATGAAATATCGCAATCTTCAGGGACCCACGAATTTGGTTTGAATGAATGATCAACTTCATGCACCACGATTTTGAATAAAATAGCACCGACCTTCCACTCCATCAACTCATCAATTCTAACTTGAGCATTTGTGAGTATTTGAATTTTAGCCCGATCAAAGGACGATGGAAACTCACAGCTGTTGTCAATAGCTAATAATTTGCCCCACTTAGCTGCAATGTTTTTGAAAGTATCCCAATTCCAAGCGTGAAAAGGAACACCTTCGCAAACTAACCACACACAACGACACTCCACCACCAGACTCTTTGACCAAGTTTCAACTCTGGAAAACCATTTTGCAAGAGTCTTTAATTTATCATTCTCTACGCTTCTCAATGAATCAGAGTCTTCAAAAACCATTATAACTACATTTCCAGCAGCTATCATTAGCGTGAAACCAGCTAGTCCTTTGGATTGCATTTGGTTTGCAAGATCAGCGATTTTGATAAAGTTATTGCACCACCCCACAAGACAGTTACTCAACACGTGAAGTTTATCTTCGTCCACAACACCCTCAACTTCACAATGTTTATTCCTCGAAACATCTTTTATCCCAGACTTACGTTGAACAACTGTCAAGGACTTTTCCAATAAGACTGTCGAGATTTATATTTAGCCAAAGAGACTCTAATTTTGCTGCCGTAAATATGAGCACCATTCATTTTTTATATCACTTTCCTTGCTTCTTCAATTGTTGCAAAGCGAATGAACCCAAAACGAACCTCTTTCGAATTTCTTTTTTTAGGAATGAAGGCATCAATAACATGATCGTGAGTGCAAAATAAGGATCAAAGTCTCTTCCAATGGATCTTCTCTGGTAGGTTTTCAATGAATAACGTGAAGCATCCACTTCTTTAACATTTTTACGACATTCCTTCTACCAATTATTAAATTTGAATCTTTCAGTTCTTGCTCCTTTACCAGTGTTGTTACCACTACACCCCTTTGTGCTGAACTCCTTGATTCCAGCGTGTAAAACATCTTGGGAGGTTGAGCTACTGATGTCTCTACTAAAGTTGGCTTCCCAATCCCATAATTCATTCGTTGTGAAGGATGCAAACCTTCAGGCCTAAATTTATTATCCGTCTTTCTGCTGGCCAAAAAAGTCTCCTTATTCGCCGACGAAACGTCCAATCGGGATCTGGTATACTTATCCTCACTCGACCTCGAATTCAGCATAACACCTCTCATTATACCACATTGATAATTTATTGATCTAAAAGTACTTGTCGATTGCTTCTGATTACCACTAGAACCATTATTGACAGATTCCTTCAACACTGATGATTCTTCCATACAAGACCCTCAGGGAGAGCTTGCATACAATCACGGTAAATACTCAAAGTAGTATTGTTATACTTGGTAGTGATATCAGTTTCTTTGGGAATACCATATTGTGCCAAAAAAGCGTTGAGTTTGTCGTTGGTACCTGGTTCCATTTTCTTGATCTAGATGTCTGTCCACGAGTCCATGTTAACAGATTGAACGAACGAGATATGAATACCTAAGCCTTGGTGTTTGTAGGAATATTCTGAGCACATGAAAACACCGTAGGTTACCGAAGTCCACTATGAAATTTTATTTTTACAGTCAACATAAATTTTGTTACTCTGCCGAGATTGTAGAAACTGTAATCGGCATGTAGCTACCGACCTTAAAGCAAAGTTCTCGGACTGAGCCTTTAACCTTAGTCTTGCCTCTCGTTTGGTTAAACCCAAAGGTGAGTGGGCATAGAAACTCCCCGGGAACAACATACCTCGAATCCGAGATGATCCGTGAGGGATATAGATTTCGTAATTCCATAATTCTGCAAAAGAAGCTGTGGTAATGGCAAAATATCGTTAGTGATCTCAGTCTCCATATATTTCTCCAGTGAACCAGACCCGAAGAAAATCTCAAGCTTGGATTTAAAGCCAAATCCGATAAAACTCAAGCACACACGTTGAAGATTGAACCAATTTCTCAACTCGGAAGGCAATTAAATTCATATTATAACAGAATCTGAAGCAAAGCAGAATTTGAAAACTGATCGAAATCCTTCTTTTTTCAAAGATACGGAGAAAGCTCATAGAACCAACGACAGCGGGAGAATTGAAGAATCAGTCGGCTTATGTTCACTGTGAAAGTATATCCTTGATGATGACTTCGAAGCGAGCAAAACTGGAAGTCCCTGTGTTAAACATGAAATAATTTCCGATGATACGGATGATATAGTTACCAGATTAATCTCGTCACTGACGGCGGAAGAACTGGAGGAGAACGAGTCGGAGAAATCCTGGGGACAGTCGAGCCAGTGGTCTTGGTCTTCGATTTTAGAGTCGTAGTTGGAAAAGAAAGGACGGGCTTCTATACCCAATTCGGAAGCAAGCACCACCACTGAGAAATCATCATTTGACGAACTCCACGAACCTTTTTAATTTCATGTCTGACGGGGAGAATTTTGTCTGAACGCAATTTTTCTTCTTCTAGATCTACTCCAATCTATTTCGATTTTGAAAAAAACAACGTCCGATCTATGCTTGGGGTGAAGAGAGGATTCAAATGGTGTATTTTTTTCCTTTTCTAGTGTCGGCGAGCGACGGTCGGAGACTATTGACGGTGTCTGTCGCGACAGCAAAGTGGTGGCTGACCACTGGGTTTGAAAGGAAAGATGTCGGGGAGTGTGGATGAGGTTTACAAAGAATGGAAATTTAAAATTTGAAAACGCTTGGATTAGAGAGAAGCTCTCTCACTAACAAAAGTCAGTTACTAATACAAGATTGTTGGTTGGAAAAGAGTGTCATGTCCAGACTTTTTATGTTTTGTATGAATATTCGTACTAAAACACTAGTTTCTTTCGTACGGTAAGTATCACGTGTGACATTTTAATATATATGACTAAATAAATGTATTATCAGAAATATTATTATATTAAATATTTTGGTAAAAAATTATTTAAAATATTATTATTTCTATCAGAAATGTTATTATCAGATACTTTATCGGCTTTGTTAACATATTCAGTAAGGCGCTACCTAAAATATTATTTTTTCTACCGAAAACATTAATATTGGACACTTTACCAGAAATATTAAAAAATATTAATGTTTTAGGTAAAAAAATATTTTAATTAATTTTTTTACTAGAAATATTAAAAAAAAATTCAATAGCATCTTTCCTTAACCATATATTAAGTCTTCGTACGAATTTCCCTCTTTCGTATCATCTACAACTGATGCTTCAGTTGCCTTCAAAAGGTTAGTCTATTTTCATACCAGTAATTCATCATCCACCTAAAATCTTCTTCTGTTGGCAGCCTTGATTAGGAGTGTAAACAAGCCGAGTCAAGTTCGAATATTGTTGAGTTCGACTCGGCTCGAAAACTCTGAAATGGAGCTCGACTCGACTCGAAAATCGCGAGCTTAAAATTTTCAAGCTCGAATCGAACTCGAAATCCTGAACTGAAGCTCGTGAGCAGATCGAAATGAAAAAAAATTCTTAAACTTAACTCGATTGAAGCCTCAAACTCAAACTCGAACATGAACCTTAAATACATGAAATCTTACTGTATTTTTAAAAAATATCAATACATAAATATTAATATTATTATTAATTTATTTTTTAAATAAAATCTTAATATATTATATTTTCGAGCTGCTCACGAGCTTTTCGAATCGAATATCGAGTAGCTCGTTTCAGTTCGTTAAGAACTCGAGTCGAGTTCATTCGATCCGAATATTTATCGAGCCTTAATCGAGTCGATCTCAAATAACTCACGATCTGTCTCGTCTCATTTACAGCCCTAACCTTGATATGTTGTTCTATGAACCATATGAGACAACGAGATACACTAAATCTTCTAAGAAAAATAAAATAAAAATATTAAATTTAATTTAATGTATTAAGAAAAAATAAAAATTTTACATACCCATTATCTTTAAAATCAAAATATAAAAATTTTAGATCCTTATAAATTTATGGATCCCTCGCTGATCGAATAACTGCAAAATCTGCAATAGTGATTTGGAGTGATATGTTAATCTAAGATAAAAATCCAGTAGTCAACTTGGGATCAGACAGTTTTTATCTCGAGTTGTCAAACAATATTTAGTTAGTTTACATGTTATATCAAAAATTTGTTATACAATTGATTATTTAGTATATTTTAAATTCGTCATTTTTTGTTAAAAATTGACAATAGTCTAAGTTGACTGTTAACATGTTTATCGAGATATGATATTTTTTTAAATTTTATGATAAAATTTTATTATATCTAAATTATTGGGTTAACATCTAACTTAGATCGCAATCAATTTTTTAACGAAAAATAATAAATTTAAAACATATTTAATAATTAAGTGATTATTTTATAAATTTTCATCGTTAGAAACCAATTGCATACCCAAAAAGTTTATACTTTAATGATCATTCATGTAATTTCCCCATCAATATTTTTGGGTTATGAAACAGTGGAGAAAGTGAAAGCCGGTCTTTTTTTCCGCGAGTTATTGGTTCAGCACGCTGCACTGCGCTAAGCCGCTGAAACAGAAGATAGAGATGGAAGACGAAGAACAGAGCGGGTGGGGTTCAAAGGCGTGGACCTACCTCAGCTCAGTCCGCTCTGTTCACCGTTAATCCAGTGCATAACCAACTTTGTTTCCATGGATCTGGCGGCCAATACTCTCTTATCCGCCGGTGCATCACCCGCCATGCTTCACTCCTCTATTGAATCTCCAGATTTCACCCCTCATGTCCACGCTCTTTATATCAACGTAGGAACTCTGTCCGACAACTGGCTACCGGCTATGAAAGTCGCCGCCGAGTTGGCTTCCAGGTTCAATAAACCCTGGATCCTCGACCCCGTCGCTGCCGGTGCCTCCGGTTTCCGGCTAAAGGCGTGTTTGGAACTGATCTCCCTTAAGCCTTCCGTCATCAGAGGCAACGCTTCCGAAATCATTGCCTTGGCTAACGCGTCCTTTGGGTCCTCCTCCACCAAAGGCGTGGATAGTTCTCACGATTCAACGGACGCCGTTGAAGCCGCCAAATCATTGGCTAATTCCAGTGGTGCTGTAGTAGCGGTTTCAGGTGCGGTCGATTTCGTCACCGATGGGAATCGAGTCGTCGGAGTCCGAAACGGCGTGCCGATGATGCAAAAGATTACAGCCACCGGATGCGCTGTCACCGCCTTGATCGCTGCTTTTGCCGCAGTTGATCCGTCTCACGCTCTGGAAGCTACGGCTTCGGCTTTGGCCGTTTTTGGCGTTGCCGGTGAGATCGGGATGGAGAAGGCTGCAGGTCCGGCTTCGTTGCGGATGCACTTGATTGATTCCCTCCACGGACTAGATCTAACGACTGTAATTTCGCGTGTCAAAATCGATACCTTATAGACCAACAACAACCTTTTCCTACATTTTTACTACTAGTTACGCATTTATCGTATATTTTGTGTGATTATAAATTGCAGTTTGGGGATTTTTCATTTTGCAAATCAATGAAGTCTTTTGAATTTCAACATTGTTACAATGAATATTCATGCCCATGTTCATTTTTCACACAGACAGGTACACATAATTTGCAGAAAAACATGCAACCTTTTCGAGTTTTAATATTTGAGATGGACTGTGATCCTCAGCAATGTCTCAGCTCCATCCGTGACATGTTGACCCGGTGGGATAAGCGGTCGAACTTCGGCGACTCCACAAGCATTCTTAAACTTGCCGGTTCCACCCATCACCGATACATGTGACACGGTGCTTCCGATCTTGTAAACTCCGTAGAAGTTGAGGTTGTCGTTGTATTCTCCGCCTTCCTCCATAGCCGTGAATGCCATCATTTGGGTTGTTCCATCTGCTGAACTGGATACATAAACCCCTTGAGCTTTCCCTATTGTCTGTGATCCCAATTCAGGGCTAGCGGTGAGTATGTCATCGATGACGGTGATCGTTCCAAAGCCTAGTCCCAAGCCGTCTGGTCCTAGAGGGATACCATTCGGGTTTGGATTACCGGCGAAAGCTGTACCAGCTAAGCCTGTTCCTAGAGGAAGACCATTGATGCCGTTGACAGTAGGAATAGCACCATTGGCATTGGGGATTGCAACACCACCTTGTGGGGGGATGAATCCTACAGGTTTAGCAAAAGGTACTTGACCACTGTAAATGTTTCCAAGTAAGCCAGTTATCGGTCGACCCGTGGGGCTACTGCCTCCGAGGATATCATGCATGTAGAACTCAAGCAAGGGTTCTTGTGCTGCAAAACATGTTACCATGTAGAGAGCAGCAATCAAGATTGTAATGAAATTTTGGGTTGGTTGCATGGACGTTTTGTGATTCTGTATTTGTGCCTTTGGATTAGCAATGAATATTTGACATTATGAAGCTTCTTCCCCTTTAAATAGAGGATAGCATCAGCTGTGGAGTTGTTTGAGGCGGTGAAGTTGGTGTTTTACATCAGCTTTTCCTTATAGTGTGGAGTGGTTTTTTTTTTGTTGACTTATGTAGTACATGTCACATCAGTAATATGATTTGTTCGTTAATAAATTAACGTTTTTCATTTAATTTTTTATTTAATAAGATCTGTTTTGATCAAAAATTAAAATGCTGAAGATAAAATGCTTCAAAAATAGTATATGTTTTTTGTTGACTTGTATTATTATAAACATTAACAAAATATATATTAAGTTAATCATGTATATAAGAGTAAAAAATAAAACTAATAAAGAGAAAATATATAAAATCAATAAAATATAAATTTAATAATTAATTAATTAATTAAATTTTAATTCGAATTTTAGTGTTTTTGATATAATGAAAGCAATCTATGTTACAATGGCAAATCCCCTATAAGTTAGCTCAAAACAATCAAATATGAACACATCTCCACCCCAATACACATTCTTGCAATCCAAATTTCCATGAGTTAGATAATAAAATCCAATTTAAAATTTCTCTTTTCCACTATTTTTCTTTTTAAAAAATAATGCTAATGACCAATCAAAATACACCAAAGTCAAAATTCCCCTAATGGATTTTCAACTTCATAATAAATAAACTTTAAATAACAATGTTGTCTGAAATCGTGATATCCGTAATGATCACAATAACATATGTTATATTCGCAATTATGATTAATGTAATGTAGCTGAAAATGGGATCGCAATCACAATTTAAATCTATGATCAAGAGTGCTCATGTAACAAGAACACTACCTTTTATCCATAGGCTTGATTACAGAAACTCCCAACTGCTTCTGCCTCCTAATTTCCAAAACCTTCCTGTGGGAATTGGAGTGCAACTCATAGGAGAAAGTAGGGCTGCTTGCCGGACGGTACTCCGGCACCAAACGCCCCGACTTATACCTCACTCCACAAGCATTGCAGAGTGTTTTAGGCCCAAGCGGCCCTGCTCTCCATTGAGGTGTCTTTTCCGCCCCACAATGCAGGCATTTCCGACCCCCTTTCACCCTCTTCACCTTCTCCTTAACACACCACCACCTGTTCTTCTGGTTCCTCATGTCCCGGCATTTATGCATACGCTTCGACCTCGCCTTCACCGGGAACATCACAACGTTCCCGGTGGTGCTACCTGAAATGCTGCTGTTACTGTTTTCGAGTACTGACACCGGGCTCTGGTGCTTCCCTAATATATCCACGAATGATGTCTCCACTGCTGGAAATGCATCCTTGTTTGATAACCATTCTAGTTCTTCCTCTGCAAATTCCTGCCAATAGTGGAAAACAAAGATAAGCTTTTCAACTCAGCTGGCTAACTCTGTCGGACTCTAACGATTTATATCCTAACGGAGAAACGGACAAAGATGGGTCTTGTAGGATTCGCATGCAACGGCTAAAATAGAATGTTTGAAAGCTGGATATAATTGATTTTTTCACAGTGAAAGGAATTTAATAAGAAGGGTAAACTACAAGTTTAGTACCCAATTATTATTTTTATTACGTTTTGGTCACCCAACTATTCGCGAATTTATCTTACGGTGATACATCAATATCACCATTAATTTTTAAACAACGGATGACCAAATGATACCAAAACTAAACATTAGATATAATTTTGAAAAAATAATAATAATTAGGTGACTAAAAAGAAACAAAAGTCATAGTTGGTTACTAAATTTGTTTACCCTAAAAAGAAAAATCATAATGAAGTACTCATATTAATTTTTAGGGTAAACTATTTATTTAAGTCACTAGCCTATTACTTTATTTTTAATTTGGTCACTTAATTATTTTTTTATCAAAATTATGACTAACTTTATATTTTGATTTTGTTTTGATTATTCATTGTTAAAATTAATTGTGATGCTAAAATTTATGACTACATTAATATTAAATAAAAAATATCAATAACGAATGATCAAAATTAACAACAAATGATCAAAATAGAATCAAAATATAACGGTAGATACATTTTTTCTGAAAAAGTTTAATAACTAAATGACTAAAATAAAATTTAAATAATAAGTAAGTGATCAAATAAGTAATTTATTCTATTAATTTTTATATACAATACTCATTTATTAGTACAGCCATAAGCATGGTGTTTGACAGCTCATCTCAATGACAAAATTCACTCTCCCACCCCCCGAATACTACAAAACCAAAACTACCCTCAACCTCATGTGGTTGTCCTCCAATAATGTAAATGAACAAGATGGGAAAATTTGTCCTCCAGAAAAATATCGCAAATAATAAACGCAAGCATCAGTTTTCAGTGCCGTCCACTTTGACCCGGACCGGGTCATTTTCATCCCAGACTGGGGAACAACAGCCCGAGTTTGACTCACAATCAAACAACCTATTTTCCCCACCTAACAACAGAGTCGAACCGAGTTAGCAAAGACTCGAGAAAAAAACCTACCAAACAGCAAAGACTCGGCCGAGTTAGCACCAAACTTGGCCCCTTTAAACCCTCGCCGAGAAAATTTCCAGTACCATAAGCCGGTAAAAGAGAAAAAGAACTTACCGGACAAGAAGGGTTAGGGTTAAGCTTCGAGAAGCTGTGTTCATCTTCTTCATCTTTCTCTCCCACATCGGAGCCAAAGTCCAATAACTTGTCGTCGAAACAAACTGCCATATCAAAAGCTTCCATTTCTAAATTTAATGGGAAAACGATTGAGTTTATCTCTTCTTTTATCAAGAAGAAGGTTGGGTTTTTTTAATGGGAGAACGAGGAGATATCTGGATTTTAGGGTTCTTTCAGTATTAATTTTGTAAATTTGGGGTTTGTTTGTAACGTGTAAATGAGTAAAAATGGTGTCCACGTCCCTTTTATTGAGATCAGCACCATTGATGATGAATTTTTCAAAAAGATTGATTATTTTTGAAATTGGACCCATTTAACGGTAATCAAGGAGTGCTTGGAGGAAGATTCAAATATAATCAATGTTTTTAAATCGGACCGGATATTAAATCGGTGAAGGTACTGATTCATTAGTTCACTGATTCAATCGGATTTAATCACGGTTAAACTGAATTTTATATAAAATAATTTATTTTTTTAATTTTACATAATATTCAAAACAATATTAATATATACGTAACATTTTTTTTAAGTTTACAATATTAAAAGGTATAAAAATATCACAAGTCATAACATGTATAAATGAAAAATCATAAAATCAAGTGAAACAAAATGATTCAAATCAACTACAACATAATATTTAAGGTAAAACATATTAAATAATAAATATCATTATATAACTATAATAAAAAAATAAAATTGAGGTTTAAAAATCATAACAAATGATGTCATTTGGTTTAATTTTTTTAAAAAAAGTAATCTCACATGGCTAACAAACATATAAGAGTATCCCAAAAGTTTAAAGAGTAAAAATATGAGAACAAAACAATCTCACATGGCTAAGAAACATAGAAGAGCATCCCAACTTACTTCTATAAATAATAGAGGTAATTTGACATTCAAAATCATGGAGTCTTTTGGTGAGCACAAAGCGAACTATTCTTTCGCTTTAGTTGAACTCAAATTTTAGGCTTCAATTGAGTTTAAATTTTAGGCTTCAATCGAACTTCTAATTTTTTTTTTGAGTTCGAGCCTTTTCGATTTCAAATTTTAATATTATATTTCGAGTTGATAATTTTTAGCTCGTGAGTTTTTGAGTCGAGTTGAGCTTACTTTTTAAGTTTTCGAGTTCGAGTCGAGCTCAGCAATACTCGAATTTGACTCGGCTCGTTGAACAAATGACGTCGTTTGGTTTAATTTTTTTTAAAGAAAAAAAGTGAACCGACGGTTTAAACCGGTTTTGCCGGTTTTCAGCCGGTTCACCTTGATTTTTTCGGTTTTCAGCTGGTTCTTTTGGTTCTTTACCGATTTTGTGCTAATCCGATTTTGAGAGTTAATCGGACCGGACAGACCACCGGTTCACGATTTAATCGATCGAACCGATCGGTCCAGTCCGATTTTAATAGCATTGAATATAATTACGTGAACGTGATTCCAACAATTTTTTGGTTAATTATTTCACGTGAATTTTCCATTGTTGATTTATGAGGGGTGGCAATGTAAATTACATACATTATATCAAAAAAACAAATCAAATATAGCTTTTAAGTAACAATGCATCATGTAAATGTTATATATGTAATATTTTAAAGAATTAATTAAAAATTTACTAAAACTAAATAAGTCAAACGATTTCAATGGTAAATGAATTGTTGTTATTCTTTGAAGTCTCAAGTTCGAGCACTAGGAATGCCAAGGGTGTGAGCGTTCAATATCAAATAGTTAAGAGTATCTTTAAACAAATATTAGCTTGTACTTACCCCAACTTAATAAAAAAATTACTTAAACTTTTCATCTTAATCACTTTAGGTATTTATTTTTTTTTGTTAAGATAAATGTCTAATATTTTCGATGTTATTATTTTAAATGTTTATTTCATTATGGTCGTTAAAAAAATTGTCAACCACCTAAAACATGACATGTGTCGCGTTTATATTTTCTTTTAAATTTCTTTTAAAAGTTTTAAAAAATATTGTTATTTTTCAAAAAAAATCCTAAAATTTATCTAAAATCTCAACAATAAAAATCTTAAACTCATAAATTTCTAATTTCAAACCCCCAATTACTATCGTTGTTGCATAACAGACATCCACTCATTGTCCCCCACCTAATGACTGACCATTGTTCTTGTCGTCACCCAATCGTCTAAATCCATAAACTTAAATCCCTAGATCTCTAAATATTCATAATATCCAAATCTCTAATCTTTTTCTTCTAGATCTCATTTCTCGCTCATTGTCGCCGAAACAAATTTCAGACAGAGAATGTCACACCCCAATTCTCAATTTTAAAATTTATAGAATTAATAAATTTATTTTAAGGACTGAACTGTAAGTTTCTTAAAATTTTTGGGCTAAGTTTGAATATATAAGAAGTTAAGAGACTAGCCTTGTAATTTTTCCTATACTTTCCTGACACCAAAAAAAAAGAGTTAGATGGCTGGGATGGTTTAAACCCATGCCTTAGCCACTACGCTAGGATATTGTTTGAGTTTAATAATAATAAATATATATTTTAAAATTTGTTTTGGGTTATAACCCAAAACCAAAGGAGAAACCCCCATGTCGAAGAATCAACCTCAAATCCCTAAAATCAACCCACTCAAGCTATCCCCGTCACTCCTCTAACCAGTCACCTATGATCGGTGATGAAGTGCACCGTCACGACCATCGGCCTCAACAACAACCCACGACCAATCCCTGATTGGATAATCGCCCAAATCGGTCGCCAAACGTCGTAAAAAAGGCAAAGAAGCTTCGCCAGAACCCCCTACCCAACCGCTTGGTTTTTCTTCGATTTCGATCGTTCCAGCCATCATTTTGCCTCACTGCCACCACTGTGTTCACCGCCTCACTCCGTTCAAGACCCAACCAGTGGGTCAAGTTGTCGCCGTCGATTTCCTCCATCGTCGGCGTGGGTAAGCTTCGAATGTTTTGTTCGGTTGATTTAAATCGTTTTAGGTTGATTTAATGGTTGTTGTGGATTATTTTTGGCGAGTCGAAGCTATAGCAGTAATTGAAAGTTGCCACCGCCATGCATCGCCATGCGTTTTTAGGCTTGTTCATGGTCTAGTGATCCTTCTAGAAATGGTCCAAGTGGCCCAAACAGGTTGGAACCAACCTGAGTCAACCCGAACCGGTCTGACCCATTGACCTTGACCCGAACCATTGACTTTGATCTGCCTGTTAACAGTTGACCTACCGTTGACTTTGACTTTTGACCAGTTTGACTGTTGGCTTTGATCAAAAAGTCAAATTTTCTGAAAAGTCATATTTTATGTTTTTCGACATCCTGAGTCCAAATTCGAAGTATGTTTTGCCAAATTCAAACTCGGTCAGCTTTATTCGGCATTTTATCTCTGGTTCAATACGAATTTTCACGTTTAAGTTCAGTTTCTAATGTAATTGGTTTTTTCATGTATTCGAGACATTATAGGACATGGAATTAAAGTTCGAGGGCAATCAAAGGGAGTTTAATTGGTTAACTGATGTAGCTCGAAAATCGAGATAATATTTTACTACCTCTGTAAAGTTTCAGAATTGTAAAGTTTCAGAATTTAGTAACTAGAGTAGAACCATGGATTAGTTCAATGATTTATTTGGAAATAAATCATAAAGTTGTTAGTAATTATAAGATGAATTGAAGGGCAAAAGGGTCATTTGACAAGGAAGTTTTTTGTTTTCCTTATAAGATAAGGAAATCACGTGGGAAGAGAGAAAAGGTTCCAGAGTTCTATTCTCTTCTTCATTCTTCATACGTGAAGGCTTGACTCAAATGTGAGTTTCTTTGTTTGTTGATTAATTATTTATTTTAAGGTTGGGTTATGATCTTTAGATGATAATTAAGCTTAAGGAAAGCTTAATTTGTTCTAAAACAACAAGATGAAAGATATAGAAGAGATTAAAGAAAATGAGTTTTTAGATGAATTTCTGGAAAAGAGTTAATAAGAGAAATTTGAGAAGGAATTTGACTTGTCTTCACTAAGAATAAGAGATATATGAAGTTAGAAAGGATTAATAACAAAGTTGAAAGTTTAGTAAGATTCTTAAATTTTAAGAATCATGATGAGATATGGAAGATAAAAATGGTTTACATGGATATAAGTTGGTTTAAGTAATGGTAGTTGAATTTAATGACATAATAGGGGCTTAAAATAGAAGAATTGAATGAAGAATTGATGATTTTCAGGCTTAAAATGCAAATTCTGGGCAAGGTGTATCGATGCACATTCAATGTGCATCGATGCACTCTTTAAAGAAGAAACATCGAATGCAATTGATGCATCGATGCATAAGGAGTGCATCGATGCATCCCCTTAAAATGAAAACATCGAAGGTAATTTGTGTATCGATGCATGGGTAGTGCATCGATGCACATGTTAAAGAATGCATCGATGCACTGTGGAATGCATCGATGCACTTCAAGGGGATATTAAAATAGACATTTCTTTTGGTCTAAGAAATGATAGATTAGAATATATCAATTGGATACTGATATGTATCAATGTACGATCATATAGATATCGAGCACGAACAAGTTCCGGAACGATTATCAAGTTAAGATTCGATCAAAAGCAAAGTTCGGATAGGTCGTCAGAGTAAGATGCGCAAGAAAGAGCTTGGTAGTGTTATTGGTGATCAGGTGAGTACATGATAGTAAATATATGTTATGTTAGGGAATTTAGACTTGTGATGAGTCTAATTCCGATATTAGATTACATGAGTACAATGATACAAGCATGTTGCATAGGATGTTTATGAGTAGATGGATATATATATACATTTAGAAGTTAACTGCATCTGTATATATGATTTATATGAATGTATATTGTGTGATAAATTTGATAGCCATGATTTATGTGATAATAAGATGTAGGATTCTGTGATGATAATAGATATGAATATAAGTTTATATGAAATAAGATCATGTGATATAAAGGTGGTATATGAATATAAATGATTAATTAACATGAGATACATGACCATGTGAAAACAAGAATATGTATATGTGAACATGTGTTATGAGATAAGAATCATAACTATGAGCTATGTGAAAAAGAATTCAAGTAAAAGTGAAAAGTTATGTGATAAGTGAATGTGAATTACATGGAAATATGTTATGTGAAAGTGAACTATGTGCCTACGTGAATATATAAAAAGATGAATAATCATGTTATATAATAAGAGAGCTATAGGTATAG